AGTGCATTATATCTGAGGTTCCGCAGGGTTCTGACCAGCAACTCCAGTCTCTGCTGCTCCATTGACTGCTGTCTAAGCATCCGAGCCAGTATATTAGCATTTAGAAAGCTGAACAGCTTTTTGTGATTTATCTTACAGTACCTTGTACAATTCTGTGCTCTCAGTTAAGGCATAAAATTGATTAGAAAATTACTTGTGTACAGGTGCTTGATTAAAATTTAATTTGAACAAGTTTGGGAGTCTTTTTTTCTTTAGTCCACTATAAAATTGCCATAGTTTCTTCAAGGAAACACTTAATTTGATTAAGTATTTTCTGTCTGCAATAGGCTAAAATGCCTCTGCAGTCTTAATTTTAGTTTAATCTTCTGATCTGCTGCAATGGTACAACTGTAATTGTATATAAACATAGGAGACCTGAATGCTTTGAGTCACATCACTGATAGAAGACTAAGGCATTACAGTAGAAATCTGAGAGAACTGATTGGATGTTTCCTCTCTGCAGATGATTAATATGGCTGCAGCCTTTTTCCTCACTGACAGTGGTTAACTGCGGACCTCAGTGATTTTATGCTTGCAGTTATATGAACTTGGGGAGAGATGAGGAGAGAAGGTCACAACAGATGAGTTAACTAGCCCGATATGCTGTAGAGTCCTTTGCAGAAAAAGCAGTTAGAGCTTTAAGGCACATAATGAAGGCTTTTCATTGTTGCTTTCCCCTGGGTTGTTTCGAGGCCAGCTTTCATGGTAAGTACACACCTTAGAGCTGTGAGATTGGAGTGCCTTTCTTTAATGCAATACTGCCTATATTTATTGTCTATAGTTATAAAAATGATGAGAAATAACTTTTTGACCCTGGTTTTCTTGCTGTTCTGTTCCACACAAATTGGAACAATGCTGATGAATGATTCTGTAGTTGGCGCTGTGCTTTCAGCTTCATTTTATAAAGATCTGTTCCTGTTTGCTTTGGGGTGGGAGTCTTTGTGATGCTGATACAATAGCACTGCTACAATATGTAGAAAATTTCATGAGCTGGGTAATTACTTCATCAAATTTTGTACATCTTTAATGTTTGAATTTATTAGCAGAGTACCTTATGTATTTTATGATTAACTTGGTGGCCAATGATTGGAAGCTTGTGTTAACTTTATCATGTTCAATACTTGGTACTATATTTCATTCAAATTAACTTCGCATTTTTCTTCATACAGCTGGGATCAAAACAAACTATTAGTTTGTGTATTTTATGTATATCAAATCGGTATAATGATCATAATTTAATAATTTGTGTTTGTATTGAGGTCTAATTAAGAAGTTTGAGGTCTAATTAAATGAGAAATCTGATCAATCTTATGGTAGTGCTAACATAGACTGTTTACTTTAACAGGGTGCAGTCTTGCATATATGTGTGTGTGTGTTAAGGGAAGTAATACAATGGGTTGTAGTTATTTATGAAAATTAATACGCTTTAACTAAGGCTTGGAACCACATTTGTAGAATGAAAAATAGATTTGTTCCCTAGGTGCAATTGTAAATGCAGCGCTGTGCTAGGTAGCGGACTGAATATATTTAATTACACTTGCAGCTGGTGCATGTGTCAAGAAAGTACGTTTTTGTCTTAACTGTTTGACTTTAAAACTATTGAATGCGATATGTCTGTTAAGAAAATGTACACTAGGCCTAATGTTTGTGAAGGGAAAAACAACTGAGTAAAGCAGAATGTCAAGATTACATTGAAATCTTGATATACAATATATTTCAATCCAGATTCAACTGTATTATTATTTAATTAGCACAGATTTTAATTGGACTATAGTGTGTTTGATTATGCTGAGTAGACAACATTGGATTAATTTCTTATTTTGCAAACTATCAAGGATAATTTCAGCTTTCAAAACAGATTGGCTATGATTGTTAGGTTTAGCCTCAATGACTCAGTTAGTCTCTTGGGAACAATTTTAGAAGTGAAAAGACTGTGCCTAATTTGATTAACCATGCCAGAAAGGTATTACACTTATGAACAGGAAAATAAAAGTTGGCTTTTTGTACTGACTATTTCAAAACTACTTAGATAGCACTGTTGAAATGTGCACATTGAAGGTTTTGAGGGAAATGTGATCAATATGGACATTTTCCATTTTGAGTTTTTGCTTTAAGTATTGAGAAGGCTGTAGAATGGTAGTTTGTCTGCCTAAATGGTTCAGTTAGCAGTTCACCATGTAATGAGATATGAGGTCTAGAAAATCCTAGATTCTTGTGTTCACTTAAATGTCCTTGACCAGGCAATGATGGCAGCACAATTGTTTTCAGTATCACCTGAGTTAAAGTAAAATCCAGTTTGGGTTTCTGCTCCTTATAATTCCACAGAATCGCAGGATTGTTGCACTGCATCAGGAGGCCATTTGGCCCATTTGCACTTTGTGCCAATCTCCTCAATTTTTTGGATTTCAGCATTGTGCTCTCAATAAATATATACGAGTGATTGCTCAACATTCAGACCAGCTGGCACTGTTCCAGAATTTTTTCTAATTTGTAAGACTGGAAACTGCTTCAGTGTAGTTCACCTTGCAACATCCTTTCTGTCATGTCATAATTAAGCGTTGAGCATGATCAAATGGAATCTTTTTGCATAGTATGAATTGCTGTTCCTTGCTAAAGTGCACCATTCCTGCTTTTGCTTAAAAAAATCAACATTTCAAATTAAACATTTAGATGTAAATTGTGAACCATTATCTTAAAAATTGATTGTAAATTCAGTTTAAATTTGTTAAGGTTCAGTAAGAACTAAATAGCAAAAGCTACTGATCTCCCCTGAAATGTGAGATCAGGTGCAATCTTATGATCTAATAATTGCAACCACTTATTTTAGGTGGAAATAATTTGTTACTGGTAAAATGACAACTTTGCTAATTCTGCTTCCAAATTGGACTGCAATTATAGTGGTGTGTTCCGCTCAACAATATTACAATACAAAATGAAGAGTGGAATTTTGGCCTTAGTGAGAGGGGCTTCAAGTTTAATAATTAGGAAATCTTGTTATAAATCAAGCCTGGTGAGACCACACCTGGAGTACTATGTAAAGTTTGGTTCCTGTATTTAAAAAAAAAAACGTTGGCACTGAAGGCAGTCCAAAAGGGATTCAATAGGCTGATTCTCTGAGACAAAAAAGGTCGATCTATCAAGAACGGTGAAATCATATTTGTTAAAAGCTTTGTAGAATGAGGGGTGATCTTAATGAAACACAAGGTTTTGAGGGGGGCTTAACCAAGTAGATGTTGAGAATGTGTTTCCACTAGTGGGTGAGTCTTGAACCAGGGGAAGTAAGAGGGGTAGTCATTTAAAACAGAGATGCAAAGGAATTTCTTAGGGTAGTGCATGTGTGGAGTCCTCTACCCAGAGAGTTGTGGAGGCTCGAGCACTGAAAGGATTTAGAGTGGTTAGATAGAGTTTTGAAATATCAAGGAGTTAGAGGAATATGAGGAGCTGGCTCATCAGAGGAATTGAAGCAGAGTGCAGATCAGCCATGATTGGGCAGGCTTGAGGGGCTGAATGGCCTCATGCCACTCCTATATATATTTATTTCATTGTGAGATGGATACAATGAATAATTGTATGTGTGTTACATCAGCACTGGAAGGTGGAGTAGGCAATTCAGCCCCTCGAGCCTGTTCCACCATTTGATATGTTCATGCTTGATCTTGTCTCTGCTTCAACTGCCTTTTCCTGCCTGCTCTCTGTCATTCTTAAACCTGTTTCTAATTAAAAATGTCTATCTCCTGAAATTTGCTCCATGTACCAGCATCTGCCACATTTTGAGATAGTAAATTCCACAGATTTGTGACCACTTTAGAGAAATATTTTCTCTTCATCGCTTAAATCTGATACCCCTTTTCCTTAAACAATGTCTTCTCTTTCTCGATTGCCGCAAATGAGGAAACATCTATGTCAATCCCACCTCGTATCTTCTATACCTCAATTAAATCTCCCGATGTCCTTCTAAATTCCAGCCAGCGGAGACCTAAACTGCTCATAAGACAAACCCCTCATCTCTGGAATTGATCAAATTGCCTCCAACACAAGTATATCCCTCAAGTAATGGGACCAAAATTGTCTGCAGTACTGCGGGTGTGGTCTCACTAATGCTGGTTACCGCTGCATCAACACATCCCTACTTTTATACTCTAATCCTTTTGCAGTAAATGTTAAAATCCCTCACTAATGGAGAGCCAGTTTCTTCATATTAGTAAGTGCTGACAAAATATCAGACATTGACTTGATTTTAAAGCATGATCTATCTGCACTGATGATCTGAAACTATGAAATTGAATTTTGCTCTTCTCATTTAATCTAAGCACTATTAAGACCAATCACCTTTGTAATTTGTACTGATAGTTCTCATATCCTTGTCTTTATAATGACTGAATCTCACTTGCTTGACCACACAATGCTTTTCAATCATTAGTTTTGCTTCTCATGTTGTATTAATTCTGGTCACCGCCTAGTTTCTTGCACAGGCTACATCTGCATTTCACTTCCTCACATTTGTGATTATTTGCAGTAATCAAACCAATCGTGCAACATTATACTTCTCCATTGCTGACATCAGTGGAGGGTGAGTACAATGATGAACCTATAGAGAACTATATCATCAAGGAATTTAGGCATTCCCAGTCTTAATCTGTGGTACATCTCAATGCAACTTCAAGCTAAACTTGCCAGATATTTTAAGTTTGGTATTCGAGAAGCCACTTTTTGTGTTTTTAAAAAAACTAGTTATTCTAATGGCTTACTAAACGTGGATAGAATTTGTGCTTTGGACGTAATCGGTGATTGTGGTGCCAGTTTCACTCAGAAATCTGTCACATGTTTTTACTTGTCATGTTTGGCTCTGTTGTAGACTAATCGGTAGTAATGACTTGGAGATAGTGTTCGCTTTTTGACTGATAGACTTTGATTTTAGTTTGTATTCTTGGTGATGCAAATAAATTACTTACTTTGTACAGGAATATGAAGAAAGATCTGGGAGAGCCCAGAAGTCCCCCTCTCCTAATCAGAGATTGAGGAAAAACCTAGACTTCGAACCTCTCTCCACAACAGCACTTATCCTTGAGGATAGGCCAGCGTGAGTCTCTTACTTTTTATCTCACTTCAGTCGTAACAAGATTGTATATAAGAAAGTATTTTGTCTTTTTGATGTGTGACGTATGAGATTAAACTAAATAGAGTTATGACCAAATTGAGCTTGTATTTTTCTGACTACATTGCTAAATTGGCTTGTTAGTGCCTGTTTCTATTTGTAAAATACCAGTATATTTTGGTGTGAAGAGCCAAAAAGCAAAAGCTAGGGTTGACGCAAGTTTTTCTAGCCCTCTTCCTTTGAAGAGGGTGGGACGCTATGTTCCAAAGTTGAAACTTGGATTATTAAACCATTAAATGGAAGAGAATATTTACATCAAATAAATATAAAACTAGTGGAAGTGCTCTAATTGTAATTTGCTATATTCTACATAGCAATTACTGCGAATGAGTTGATAGAACACATTTGCAAAATTCAATTATTGTAATAACCCAAAGCTTTTAGATTGCACAGTATGGATTTGAATGCATAAAAATGGATTGTCTATGATGCCCCCTTGATTAAATCATGTAAATGTACTCATTCAACACACAGATGACAAACAATTTATTTGAGACTGACTAGCCTCCACTGAGACCATATCCTAGGAGGAGTCCGTACTACCAGTCACAATAGTAAGATAAAAAGCACACAGAAAAAGTAACCATGACAAACTAAAGCTTGTATCATATTACTCTAAATAACTCAGTGAGTAACTCATTAGTCAATGTATTGTAGAACCATACTGTAGACCAGTGGAATTTCACTGTGCAGTGTATGCAAAGTTCAGTAACTTTTGGTGGCTCGCTGTTAGGACACTGGTTAATTTCAACATATTTGATTTCCGTGGGAGACAATAAACATCAGGTAGGGTTGCTGCTGCTCATTTAGTACTCCATTTTCTTTGGTAGATACAGGTTAAGGATGATATTGGGCTTGCCTTAGTACTGTAGTAGTCAAATAGCCTGATGATACGCTCTTTTTATGCTGCTATATAATGGGTGCCATGGTGTGGTACTTGTGGTGCTTCTGCCATCTATGGCAATGTGCCCAGCAAGTGATGACTTTGTGAAGATAGGAAACTGAAGATGACCATTATGTCAATGTAACTTTTAAATCATTAGTTTTTTGCATTTAGCCTTATTGGGACAAACTAAAAGTTAAGTAAACTAGCAGAGCACTAAGATAATATTCCAAAGTTGTTCTCAATTTTGTCAACGAATGTGGGGATCGCTGGCTAAGTGATGTAATTCTGTGGAAGCACGTGTCAAGGAGATGAAATGAAAAGGACTAGCATGAGAAATCAAAATGATTGCCTGCTGAGTACTGCAGTACTATAGCTGAAAGGCCTTCAGTTTTAATTTAGGAAGGGTGTGGCAGTTTAGAAGGAAAAATGATTGCAAGTGGCGGGGGGAGGGGTGGTGGCAGCTTGGGCATGGTGGGTGGAAAACAAGCAATGAGTAAGGATTCTTATTTCTCCTTAGGAATCTCCCTGCAAAACCTGCAGAAGAAGCTCAGAAACACAGACAACAATATGAGGAGATGGTGGCTCAAGTGAAAAAACGAGGTTAACTGCTGTTTTTTTTTTCCATTTGTGGTATGAGTTTTTTTTGTGAAAGGCTAAGGTTTACACTAGGTGAAATGAGGCAGTGCTCTTAATTAAGGTTTCTTTTCAAAATGTTTTGGTTTTCACATCCCCACCTTCTTGCATTTCAACTTGAACTGTCTTGAGGGAAAGTGCTGGGATTGTAACCATGTTAAACCTTGCCCAGTCTTCCTTTCGATTCACCAATGAAAGTTTACCTCAAGTAGGTGCAAAATGGTCAACAGATGATATCCTGTCGATTTTCACCCTGGGGTGCTGAGTTAGTATTACTCCTAAAACCTTGTTTTACGTGCTAATTTTCTGCAGTTAAAGATGTATTCACAGTTGACTGTTTCTGAATGAAAAACAGGTGACAGTTTTGGGCAGCATATTGATCACAGGTTTGTGCAGATAATCCATTAGAATGTTGGGATACACTTTTTTTTCTGCATTTGCTTTGACCCAAAGACTTGAATTTTAACCTAAATTTCATTGTTCTTGATTAGCTTGCATAAGAGTACCATCTTCATATTGCAGAATTTTACATTAAGCTTTTATTGTTCCTTCTAGAGCAAAAGGATGCTCAGAGACGGAGGAAGCTACTGGAAGATCGGTGTAAACTTGAAGAAACAATTGGGAATGCTGTTGTTACCTGGAACCATGAAATCCTACCCAACTGGGACGCTATGTGAGTAAGGAAAACAAAGAAAATGTTTTAACATTGCAGTGTTAGGATGATTTCTGCAAATATTTGCTAGATTCTTAACATTGTTGAATAATATAGAAAATGGATTTAGGATTAGATTTTATCGTCATGTGTACTCCAATACAGGAATGTAGGAGTAAAATGGCAAGTGTACAAAGTCGCCCCCCTTAAAATACAAAATACAAAACCAGAATTTAAAACCAAAATAAGAGAAAAAGAGCCCAAGGAAAATGAAAAACTTCCAGATCTTAGTCATTACGCAAAAGAAAAGGATAAAGTCCAGATTTTAAAGTTTTTATCTCCCTGGGCCTAGCCCTGGCCTGGAGTTTTGATCAGCCGCCTCCTACGACACGCTCCACCAATCGCCTTTGCTGCTGCTGCTACCACTGAGCACTGGCCGGAGCTGCCGCCACCATTGATGATCACTGGGAGGACCCACCACCGCTCCCTCCGATTGCCGGGAGGAGTCGCCCATATTGCTGCATGTGCTCAGGAGTCTGGGCCCACTCCTGCCCTGCCAAAGACACCAAGAAAAGCTTTTACAGAGGTGAAAAAAGAAAATGAGCAAAAGTAAAAAGAAAAGAAAACAAAGCAGACAAGCCCTGGGCCTGGAGCCCGAAAGCAGCGCTGCTACTCCACCGCCAACTTGAACCTCCGTTGCCTAATTTAAAAAGAGCATGTCTTAAAAGTTAGATGACTACTCTGGGTCAGTAAAGGTATTGAGTGAAATTACTCCCAGCACCTCCCTTGTGTAATTACTTCCAGTGGCTCTATATCCTGACCATCTGCCAGAATTTTGGTGGAAGACAAAAGAACATAATTTTTCCAAGGGTTTATTCTCTTGCAATTATTATTACAGCAGAGAATTATAGTTCAGAACTTTAAATGTTTGTTGCTTTTTCTAGGTGTCTTAATGGCCATTTTAATCTACAGGTATTGCATTCAATTTTCTTTCCTGAAATTTTCTTGCTCTACTTTGCTTCGAGTGCTAACCTACTACCAAGATAGTTTCACATCCCCTGCTTGGCCATTCTACACTTGAAAGCCTTTAAAACTATATGGTGTTTTGAGTATTTGAGTGAGGGAGAGGACATCACAGTGAGTCAGATCTCAACACTGCCAAATAGCCATACAATGCATTTTAGAGAAAGCCGTTAAGAAACTCGACATTCTAATCACACTTCTCAACTGTACCCTATATGAGGCTTAATTAAATGCTCTTCATGTCCCTTTTAATGTGAGGTGGAATTATTTGGATGTAAATAGGATACAGTGGAAGACTAGTAACTATAGAAGACTATCCTTTGAGTTTCAATCTGTAGATGTATAGTTTCTTCTCCATCCAACCCTTTATTTTTCCCCTTATTTAGGCTTGAAGCTTTTTTATATCTGTGCAAAAGCCTCTCTGCTTTTCCTATTATTTGGTCTCAGTGTTGACTCATCTGGTCACAGAACTGACAGTTCATAAGGAAACTTGGTTTCCCAAGTAATGGGAAATAATCATGCAAGATGCAAATCTCAGTGAAAAAGCAGCCACCTAGAGATTTTCCTGATGGTATGGTTTATCTGTTGAGATTGTCTGAAAGAATTTCAGTGTTTACTACTGGTAACCTGAACTGCTTAATATCGGCATTTCTTTTGAAGGAGCACTGACTTTAGTTATATAAAACAAAAAGTTGTTCTAAAGACCTTTTGAAAAATATGAATGACTTTATACCTTGTATGCATATTTATGGTAACAGACTTATTAGACATAATTGCAACAGTTTTTTTTAAATCCCTGAAGGCGTCATTCTCGTAAAGTTCGTGATCTCTGGTGGCAAGGTATTCCTCCAAGCGTAAGAGGAAAGGTATGGAGCTTGGCAATAGGCAACGAGTTAAACATTACTCATGGTGAGTGTTGTACACATTTTTGAATTATAATTGAATTGGTAAATTTAAAATGTGCCTTTATTCCTTTCTGATAAAATACATTAGGTAGTCTCTCTGCTTTAACTTCAAAGAAGCCAGAAATGTATGTTTTACAACAGTTTCATATAGTTGATAAGAGGACAAGTTTAGTGAAAAGTGCAAGAATGCTGGAGGGGTAAGGAAGGTGATGATGTATCTAAATAAAACTAAAAAATGCTGTAGAAACTCAACAGATCTGGACGCATCTGTGGAGAGCGAGTACATTAACTCTGTTTCACTCCACAAATGCTGTTAAACTTTGCTGAGTTTCTCTTGCATATTTCATTTTTATTTCTGATTTCCAGCATCCACAGTATTTTATTTCTAATTTAGGTGATGTTTTTGATCTCTTAGGCAAATTATAGTTGAATCCAAGGGATCTGTTTTTCATCTCTACCTTTCCCGTACACACTCTACAACAGTCCTGATATTGGTTGAGAGTTAAGATCTGCTACTGTGAAACAGTATAATATCATTTTAGATCAGATGAATGTCATAGAAGATATGCAAAACTAATCTGTATGAGGTGATTTTGATTGTTTTATGTGAGTTATGTAATGTTTGTTTTGTTTTAATCCTATTAACTGTGATATGTTTTTCATTGTTCTTCCATATCCTATTATAAGATTTCTGTAATAGGCTTATGGAAATTTGAGAAAGTTTAGAGCATGAGAGAAGGCCTTTTGACCCATCTTGTCATTTCTGTCTGACAAAATTATCCCTATTGCACTTTCCAATTTTTGACCTATAGCTATACAGAGGTTATGGAGCTTGTAGTATGTGCTTGTGATTTTCTTTTAAATGTGCAGAGGGTTTTTGGCCTTTGCTATCCTTTCAGTCTAAGTTGCAGGCTCTGACCTCTAACTGAACTAAAAGATTCTCCACAACTCCCGGTACTCCATTTGCCAATTAATTTAAATCTACACCTCCCCGTTTACTGACCTCTCTGCAGATGGAAATAGATTCTTCCGATCCACTCAATCTAGGCCCCTAAATTTTATATACCACAATTAAATCTCCACACTCTGTTCCAAAGAAAAAGCATCTGCCTGTGAATTCTATTCCAATAGCTAAAATTCCTTATTCCTGGAGAATATTCTCCAGGAACTTTGGTCTCTATAGTGTGGTTGCGTACTTCGTGCAATGCAGTGACCAGGATTTTATACAGTTTTCTAGCTTTGACTTAGTGGTGGCTTGTGCTGTTCTATTTTAACTTCCCTGTTTTTAAATTCTTGGTCTTGGCTAACGAAAGGAAATTATCTTGTACGCTTAATTATAAGCACCTTTTCTACCTGTCTGATATTTCCAGGTGACATTCATTTGATGGACCCTCTGTTCTTTTACACTTGCCATTTATTCTTCCACCTTGTTTGTTCCTAACTTGTGCATTATCGTACAGCCCTTGAAATTCAATTCCATTTGCCGCTTTACTGTACGCCTGACCAGTCTATTGGTGTCTTCTAAAGTTGACAGCTCCGTTCATCATTAGCAGCTGTAAGGCTAGTTTTTGTCATATGCCAACTCCTAAATAATAGTCCTACATTTAAATCCAAATTATTTATGTGCAAGGGAAGTAGAACTTGAAACCTGCACAGTCCTACTGGCAGCAGCCTACCAGTCTCAAAAATCTGGATGATCCCCACTTGTGCTTTGTGCTGCTGAGCCGATTCTTGATCTAACTTGCTTTTACTTTTCTGGTCAACCTGCCATGTAGGATCTTGTCAAATCCTGTTGACGGCATGTGGATTTGATTTTATTCATTCGTGGGATGATGCCTAGGTCAGCATTTAATTTCCATTCCCAACTATCCTCTGAAAGCTGACAATGAGCTGTCCTTTTGAACTGCTGCAGTAGGGAGTTCCTGGATTTTGACCTCTGTGGTGAGGGAATGGAGATGTTGTTCCAAGTCAGGATAGTGAGAGAGTTGATGGGGAACTTGCGGTGGTGGTATTTCCATGCACCTGCTGCCCTTTACCTTCTAGATGGTGGTGGTCACATGTTTGCAAGGTGCCATCAGAGGAGCCAGGACGCAGTGCATCTTGTAGAAGAAACATATTGGTGCTGAAGGTTAATGTTGGTAAGTGGAGAGCTGATCAAGCAGTATTAAATTATTCTGTGCAAGTTATCTGCCTTAACCTATCCTATAAGCTCTTTGACAGTTCAGAGCTCAAGATCTGAGTTCCATCCACTTTGTTCTGAGTATTGCATATTTCCTTGAATGCCTCCACATTCTCTGGCACTTTGCCTTTACAAAGCAGCATTCCATCTACCTTTTCCAAATCCCATTTCAGCTTAATAAAATGAGCCCTCCTTCAATTCAAAACTTTTGTCCGTGTCCTTCTCCACATCTAACCTAAATCTGACTGAAATAATGATCACAACCATCTGCCGGCTTCATTCCTGAAAACTAAAGCCAGAACTGCTCCTTTACTTGTTGGAATAGCTACCTACTAGCTTCAGCGAAGTTCTGAATTCAGCATCTTTAACACTGAAATTTCATTATTTCATCTATGGTATCAATTTATTTTGCAGACAGATTTATGCTGATTAAATGACAATTGTGTATTGTCTTTAGAATAGTGAAAAATATTGACATGGACAAGACAAAAAACTAAACTCAAAATTCTGGTAGAAAGAAATCCAAATATAAATGGCAAAATACTCAAATTCGGCAGTATTTGGAGAGAAAAACACAATTAAAATATCAGGCCTGCAGCAGACCTTAAATGTTAACACTGTTTTTCTCACCTGAGGTGCTGCTGCCCATCACGGCTTTGGCATTTCTTTTGGTGGTATGTATGTCCTGCAAAGGCCAAACTGGTTTCTCCTCTTTTTCAGAACTCTTTAATGTTTGCAACATCTGTAATTTATGCTTCTCCTGTTCTTTTGAGAGCCATCCTTTTTATGGCAGCAGGCTTATGAGTGTATAACAATGTGAAATCAAATCAGTCTGGTTATAAAGCACATTATAAGTTATTTTTTTTTTTTTTTTTTAGCACTGTTCATGAAATTGGCAGCAGATGTGATTTACCATCTACTGCGACACAAAACTGCTTCACTAAATGTTTATAATCTGAATTAGTTTTTGTGCTTGAATTTCTTTGTTAAGGGTACAATGCATTCACTTCACAAATTGTTTTGTCTTTCAGAACTGTATGATATTTGCTTAACTCGGGCTAAAGACAAATGTAGATCTCTCAGTACAGCACACTCTGATGTTGACAGTGAAGGTACTTGTTTTGAAAGTTTAACTGGTGCTTCTGGAGGGTTTTGAGTAGAATTTGCAGTTTAGTTTTGCACTTGTTAACATTCAGTGGATTGCATTTCTGCAAGCAGTTGATTGTGATATCAATTTAACATCTTCCATTTATTGCCAGTATTAAAAAAAAAAAGGTCAATTCTTAAGCTTGTTGTACATAATGAGTGAGGGAGAAGTGCAAGAAATAGAAGAGGAGCTGAGTAAATTTTAAAATATTAATTAGTATGGAGAATGCAATGTATAACCAGAGTTTGATAATGCATTCGAAGCTCATTTTCTCCTTAGTGTCACTTAACAATCTCATCATTTTTCATACAGTTTCTCACTGTACGTCACTTTGCTACGAAACCAGGATAATCTGATCACCCACGCTCAAACTTTGTGTGATTTAATTGAGAAGTTTGTATAACCACTCGTGGTAGGATGGCCCAAGTAACTCTAATTATGGCCTGCTGGTTTGAGTGAACTTAATATTCAGCCACTTTCATTGCCGGACAGTATTTTAAACATTGTGAGAAGGTGTGAAAACTGCCTCCTTTCAATGCTCTGTAGTTGGCTGCAGCAAAGACGTTTCATTCTTTCTGGCACACGCATTTTATTTCAATTGAACCATGGTACTAGACAAATTTAAGGAGCCAATTGCATGATTTTTCTTGATTGAAAGAGAAATTTTATTACTAACACCAAGAAAAATAATAAAATCAAACACACAAACACAAGTATAAAGTTCAAAATGGGAGAGTATATGTACAAAAAAAGGGGGATTAAGAGTTAAAGTCCTTCAAATCCTTGAGATATTCGGATTTAGCCTGAGACCACGGTGATTTAATTGGCATCCTGTATCCTCAACATAAATTATAGATAGAATTATAGAATTTTTCAGTACAGAAGGAGGCCATTCAACCCATCATATCTGTACTGGCTCCCAAAAGAGCTACCCAGCTAGACCCATTCGCCAGCTTTATCTCTGTTGCCCCCTTTATTTGTCACTTTCAAATACGTATCCAGCTCTCTTTTGAAACCACCTATGGAATCCATGTCCGCCACTCTCCCAGGCAATACGTTCCAAGTCCTAAGAATTCTGAGTAAATAAATTCTCCTTATCTTACTCTTTGCTCTCTCGCTGTCAATCTTGAAATTGTAACCCTTAGTGACATACCAATGAATGGTAACAGAATACGCCCTTTTACCTTGGAAGTGATGGCCCAGGTGATGGCTGGATTATTAATCCGGAGACCCAGATAATGTTCTGGCAACTCTGGTTCAAATGCCCCCATGGCAGGTGGTAGAATTTGAAGCCAATAAAAATCTGGAATTAAAAGTCTAATGATGGCCATAAAACCATTATTGATGTCAGGGATAAAACCCATCTCGTTCATAAATGTGCTTTAGGGAAGCAAATTGCCATCCTTACCTGGTCTGGCCTACACATGATTCCAGACCCCAGCATTGCGGTTGACTCTCCAATCCCGTCTGGGCAATTAGGGATGGGTAAAGAATGCTGGTCTAGCCAGTGACACCAACATCCTGTGAATGAGTTTTTTAAAAAATTGTTAATAACTTTGAAGACCTCAAATAGGATGACCTCTTAATCTACTTTGCTCCAAGGAGAATAAGCCAAATTTCTCTAACCTTTCCTTGTATCTAAAATCCTTCATTCCTGGTATTATTTTAGTAAATTTCCTTTGCACACCCTCCCTTAAATAAGGTGCCCAGAACTGAATGCAATTCTCCAAATGTGGTCTGGCCAATGATCTTCAGAGGTATAGTATCACTTCCTTGCTTTTATGTTTTACGCCTCTTGTAAACCCGAGGATCCTATAACCTACGTTAACAGCTGTTTCAGCTTGCTGGTCCACCTTCAGAGAATTATGCACTTGAGCCCCAAGGTGTCTCTGCTCCTGTACTCCCCTCAAATGTATACCATTGAGCCTGCATTGTCTTTCTATGTTGCTTCTATCAAAATAAATTAGCTCACATTTCTGTGTTGAATTTCATCTGCCAGGTATCTGCCCATTTGGCTAACTTGTCCATGTCCTCTTAATACATTATTCTCCTTAGCTTGGTATTATCTGCAAATTTAGACACATTGCTCTCTACACTCCATCTTCAAATTATTTTTATAAATCAGTAAAAGCAAGGGTCTCCACATTGATCCTTGGGGAGCATCATTTTCAACTTGACTCCATCTGAGAATTGCCCATCAATGTCTATTCTGTTTCCTCTCTTTGTCAACTTCCAATCCCTGCTGCCAAGGATCCATCAATCCCAAACATTTTTTAACTTGCTAGCCAACCTGCCATGTGACAATGTCTTAAATGTTTTCTGAAAGTCCAAATATACATCAGCAGCACTACTGTCATCCATTGCCTATGTCACCTTGTGAAAGAACTCAAATTTGTCAGACATGACCTGCCCCTGACAAAGACATGTTGACTGCCTAATATTATTTTTCTGTGTATATTTACCTTATCCAGTATTGTGGCCTTCATCAGTTTTCCCACTATGGATGACAAGCTGATAGGTCTGTAATCTCCTCTAGCTACTTTCTTAGACAATGGTGTCACGTTTGCAATCCTCCAGGAAGAATCCACTGTTTGTGGAGGTCTGGAAAAATTCTGTCAATGGCTCTGAAATTTGCTCCCTTACTTCTCTTGCCAATCCAGAGTGCATCCCATCCTGGCAACCTCTCTATCCTGAGTGCTTCTAGCTTTTTAGCACCGCTTCTCCGTTTGTCTCTATACTGCTGAGTTACTGAGTTACTGTCTTGACCAACTTAGATGGTGACAAAGTACTCACTCAGTACCTCTGCCATACCCTTTACTTCTGTGAGAACCTTATTCTGCTTGTTCCTTATGGGCCCCACTCTATTCTTCACCTTTTTTTTTAAACTCTTGGTATGTTTGAAAATCATTTTATTATTTGTTAAAGTGCAATCTGCTAGTCTTTCCTCATGCTTCCTCTTAGCCTTCTTTATTCCAGCCTTAGCCTCTCTTCTGCATTTGAGATTCTCTTCCTGATTTCTATTCCTATTATTATTCCTATATGAATCATATGCCTCCTTTTTCTTCCTTATTTTCTCATCAATATCCTTAGCCATCCAGGGTACTCTAGCTTTGGATACTCTAAATTTATTTTTCATGGGTATGTATCTAGCTTGCACCCGATTTCTGTCTCTTTTGAAAGTGTTCAATTTTTCATTCACTGTTTTACCAACAAAATTTGTTTCCAATCAACTTGCTCCAGTTCAACTTTTATGTCCTTAAAACCTGCCCTTTCCAGACTGGGATCTTAATCCTTGACTGATTTTTATCCTTTCCCAACTTAATACTGAACTTCATTATATCATCATTATTCCCCAAATGCTCCCCTACTTTGTATTCTCCATTTGGCCTGTCTCTTTTCCTAGGACCAGATGAAGCACAACTCTCTCCCTGGTGGGACAGGAAAGGTACTGATCCAGAAAGGTCTCCTACACACATCGCAGAATTTCTCCCCTTCCATGCCATGCACAATCTTTTTCACAATCTACCCGAGAGTAATTGAAATCGCCAACCTTCACAGCCCTACTTGTCATGCAAATTTCCATAAGCTGCCTACAAATGCTGTCTTCTACTTTCTCCTATTTGCAGGTGTATAATAAATACCCAACATGGTCACTGCTCCCTTCCTGTTTCTCACCTCCAACCATATGGATTCTAATTCAGGAACTACATCTCATTCAAGGGTTATGACCAATCTTTGACCAAGGCTGCTATGACCAGTCTTTTCTTTTTACCCACCCTGTTAGCACTAAAAAGCTTGTAACCTGGGATGTTAAATATCCAGTCCTTTTTTTTCTGGCTTGAGATGCTTTTCTGACAATGCCGTTCTCTGGCACAGGGTCCTCCGCAATTCCCTTCTCCGTTGTGATGAGCGAGCTGACTTCTCTCAGAATCCTCTTTAATCACTTCTCACTGCCACCTTCTCTTTTGAGTTCTCACTGGTTGATTTTCCAAGTTGGTTTACAATGGG